AGTGCCGCGCTACCATTTTTGGGCTGTTCCTCAGTTGGTTAGAAATGCCGGACAAGGATTTATCATCTACGGGTCATTTAGGTACGGATTGAGCGTATTTATCCGAGATATCAAACACTATTTTAAGTTCTTTTTCCAATTTAACTGATTCCACCTGACTTAATAACCAATCAATTCACTTTCAAACCCTTAAAAAGAGTTTGAATATTTCTAGGTGCACTTTGCTTGAATGCAGTTCCATCCTCTATAGCCAGACATGCCAAACTGAGTGACTAGCTCATTTTTCACATTGCCTGCTCTAGCTTGCTTAAGGAAGTATATGTAAGCCACGAAAAGATCAACTACAGGCAAGAGGACTCTGATGGCGGTAAAGCACCTTTTGTGCGTTGCTGCCTTTGGGAGACAAATGGAATTTTGCATTTAATTTAGTTGCATAAAGCAAGAAACGTGCGTGACACGCAGCCAAAAGAAAACGCATACATGCACGTACTCGGCTGGCTGGCTATGCGAATTTGGCATGTTGACTTAAAAAAAAAGTGGACTTCATAGTATAAGGGTCCGTGAAGAAGCATTTAGAATGGGTATGGGTGGGTGTCTGCTTTGAGCAAATACTTGCGATTATATGAAATATGCATATATATTAGGGTGGAGCAAACAAAAAATTAATTTTTCGATTTCGAAATTCTAGTAGTGAGAAAAAGTGGCGTAACGGTTTCCCATTGAACTGTGTTCGCCCTAAGAGCCTTAAAGTTTCGAAAAAGTTTCACAAGTCATGTTTTTTATACTTTTTTAAATGATTTTCTAGAATAATTTTAGGTATGCAGTTTTGTAGTACACTAAAGTACTTACATTTGTTCGAAATTTTTTTTTATGGGAAAAAAATGCGTAACACCGTCAGCAAAACAGTTGCCGAAAATAAATCAAAATATAGTAAAATTTAATGGGATACAAGACTGCATATTGAAAATCTTTTAAAAAATTATAAAATAACGCTAAATTGAAGATTTTTCGAAAAATCTTTCTAGAAAATCTTAAAAAAATTACCACAATTTGAGAGATTTGTCGTAAAATCCTTGTCGAAAATCCAAAAAAACAACATAATTTGAAAGATTTTTTGAGCGTAAATATTATCCAATCGCTCCACCGTAATGTATGTGTGCATAAGTTTGTGGGTACACGCCACTTGTTCGTGAGCTAGTGCGACACGCACGCGTACGTGACTTGAGTGTACCGAACAACACAGAGGACGACAACAACATTTACTTATGGCAAGTGCTCGTAAACGCAACAGCGGCAAAAGCAGCAACCTTCAACTTCTTGCTGGAAATTCGAAGGCGTAATGCATTTTGCGTAGAATTTCCATTTGTACGCCTGTCAGACTGCACGGAATTAAATTTATTTCTTTATTTGGGTGTAAATACTAGCTAGTTGTGGAATACTTTCTTAGCCACTTTTTGCTTATTTTTTTTTAAGTAAAAACCATTTCTGATTGCTTTAAGAAAAGTCAATGGCTGTTGCTCTCCAATTTTCTTTCAATGTATTTTGCGCTTACAATCTTCTTTAGCTTTTTTAAATTTTTAGTCCTTGTTATTTTGATTTATTTTATTTTTCTTCATAGCCGCATACCAAAATTTTCTTATAATCTTGCGTTCCTTCGTCCATTGCTAATCTTGAACTGTCTTCTCCGTTCCCACTTAAATACTAACTTTAATCCACTCAACATTATTTGCTTACTTTAATACCCAAGTCGCTCTTCGCTAAAATCCTCTCAAGCAACTTAATGCGCTCGAAAGCTTGTTGCAGGTCACTTAAGTGCAACTTAAGTGCACCTTAAGTGTAGCTTATTAGTCGCCAGCGCTAGCAGGTGGCGTAATTCATCACGTTTAAGTGCAGCGGTAACTTCTACTTATTACTCGTGTTCTCCATTCTTCTTCATCTCAGAGTTGAAGTTTAACCCCAGCGCATGCACATTTTACACGAATTACGATATCGTGACAGTTGACCATGCAGCCACCAAGTTTGCGAAAAGCATTACCATTGTGTTTTTTTTGTGTTTTCTATGTTTTGGTGCCTTCATGCATAATAAAAATGATGTCGAATAAACAAAAGACAGCCAGAATCTACTAAGTACTCACGTAAACTCATAATTCGCCAGTTGACTTTTATCTTTTGATTAGGTAACTTGTTCAACTAAATAATGAGAGTTGCACTTGGTTGTAGTTTTTGTTGAAAAGAAATGGTTTAAAAGTATTTATGTTTTTGTTTATTTTTCACATTTGTGAAATACATTCACGAGGGACTTAGCAATATTTAAACTTGGTGCATATCCTTTTTCCATTTATTTTCTAAATCGTTTAAGTCATCTAAATAAGAACTAACTGCAGCCAATCCAGCATATTCGGTTGAAGCATTCACTTACTCGGCCTAGCATGAGGTGCGGTGGGACGTCTTTCGGCTCGCTTTATACACTTCTACATACAATTTTTGACTCTACGTAATGTGTTTGTGCGCAGGACTTCGGACCCAAACTGATCCACCCTTTTGACTCAACCCAGCTTGAGCTGCTGCTGAAAGTGGGACGTCTGTCGGCTCGCTAAAATATAAACCTGTACATACAAATATTTACCCGAATGAGACCCGCGCTTTTGATGAAAGCTTTAGGGACACGATTTGATGGTTTACACCTGCAATTCCCAGCTCCTTAATGTTGAATGGACCCCTGCCCGGCCAGTCGATGTCTTTGTGAGAGCAAAGGCAGACAATACCACTACGTAAGGATGCGATCAACGTGCCAAGGTAATAAGGCAATAAGATCTTGCGACGTCTATTACTGCTGAAATGCGCTACTGGGTCGCCGTGAAACTGGCAAAAATATTGGTGATTTTCATAAAAAGCTAGTGTTGCCGTGACAACTGAAGCTTGTGATCTTTTTGTAGATAATCTAAATTTAAAATGTTCTTAGATTGCTTAAACACTTGTTTGATTAATAGATATATGTAGACAATACTTTTAGAGTAAAATATAAGCATCATGAGCATCCCCTAAATTTATACTTAGAAACGTAAAGTTTGGTACCTAAGCGAAAAGAGTTTTGCAACGAAAGAATATTTTAGCCGCAGCGACCATATGGCCTGTCCCTTCCGTGGGTCTAGGTCTAGGTTAGATTTTAGATTAGAGCGGAAAGCCCAATCCCGTTGTGATACCACCGGCGGTAGCCATTTGCTTCTTTCCCTCCCTTAATAGTATAACCCTCGACTGTGTTTTATATAACACGGAAAATTGAGTAAACGGTAAAGGTTTGATGCCCTCCCCATCTTCCTCGGCTCAGCAGCTGCGACAAAAATCGTTGGTTGGATAACTCAGCCCTTTTCCGTGCGGGCCTATCAGGCAGTATCCGGTTATTGCTCCGCCAACTTAGCCCAGAAAAGTGCAGTCCAGCCGAGTGATAGCCATGGAATGCTTTACATACATTTTTGGCTAAATTTAGCTAACGGTATGGCAGGTGATTACCACAGCTTACCTGGTATTTACCTCCTCGATGAATTAAGCCTTTAATTTGCGCTTGCAGGAGGCTGGACCGGTTGTTGGCAGGAATTTTTATGCCAGCAGCTTGAGAATCCTCCTGGATGATCGAGGGTTATGGGCCACCGCAACATTATGGCGTTTACATCTACTTGAAAAACGCTGTAATAGTCCGATCAGCAAAAATTGAGGTTTAGCGCGAGTTCACCAGAGTAAATCCCGCTTCCCATCCTTTCGTTAAGCTTCGACCCATCTGTATACATAGCCATCGATCCTGGGTCGAAGTCTATGGCACCTTTCCATTCGTTCCTCCTTGGGGTTCTAATGGAGAAATTGTTTTCTAAACAGAGTATGAGAGTGGTATAATCTAGATATCGTAGGTTATCCGGTAATGTTTCAAGGCCCATTGCGTTTCTGAATCTGAGGTCTCTTCACGGCTAGAAGAGGATGTCCAGTGCCCTCTGACATGCATACAAGGCGGTGTTGGCTTTCTTGTAGCGGTCTTCAATATTTCCATTGCACTTGAGTTTCTTGTCTAGAATAATTCCAAGTTATCTGGCCTCGGTTGATAGAGAAGCTCTATCTCGTTTCAGGAGGGAGGTATGAATAGAGAATTATTATACTTCCTCGTGAAGAGTAACATCCCGGGATTGACACTAAGTCCACATTCCTTGCACCAGATGTTTAAAAGGCTGCGTGTGATTTATAATAACTCACTCAGGACCTGCAGAAGTTTACCCGTTACTTGATAACCAGTGTATCCAAAACTAATCTGTGACTATGTCACCTGCCTCTCCTGAGTCTAAGTCTAATCTCATCATACATGTCCAGAGACTAGGGACCTTAGTGATTTATTTTGATGTGACGTTTGAGATGTGCATCTATGCTTATAGATACCTACTAAATAAGAAGATAAAATGGCATTGCACACTTTTCCTTTTGGTTGTCGTGGTATGGCGAATAGGAAGTATTAAGTGGAGCGTTTTGGGGAGAATGTAGTAGTCAGAATTCAATTCCCTTACGTATGAATTAATTTTGTGATTTAAATAATATTTTTTTTTGTATAAAAAAATATGTTATGTTTGCTTGCTTTCAATAGTTTCCTACAAAGGCTGCTTCGTAATGCCGTTTTCCTTTGTAGTACGAAGCTTTGAAGTGTTTTGTTGCTGTTTTTATTTCGCAATTATGAATCATCCAAGCCTAGAACCAGAAAATTACTCATGCAAGCGAATTCATTTAGAAACAAATTAAATTACCCACTAATTAGAACAAATTGACTAACAAGTCCCGCTAACAAGACCTTGTAGTACAACAAGCAAAACAACCAGCAAGTTCATCATGAATGTCGAACAAGATGGTCGAACATGATCAGCAAATTTTCCATGAAGATAAGATAACGACGCGTGCATTTGGGAAGCAATAGCCAGACCATAAAAGAGTGCAAGGCAATCGTATAACTGAATATTGAAGCTGTAACTATGTTCCACCGAGTAACTTTTCGATCATTACTACTACTCGCGCTGTGTGCAGCGCTGGTGCATGGCGAAGAGAAGCCAATAGAAGAAACTAATAGCTCGCTACCGCTGAAAAAAGCCGAGCGCTGCACCGTCGATAAGTGCCAACTGCCAAATTGTCGTTGCTCAGGATTGCGCCTGCCAAGCGCAGAGTTCCAGGGACGCGAAAAGGAAATACCGCAGGTGTGTGCGTTACCAAAATTATACTCTAATTTGTTTCAAACTCCACCGTCATTCCCTCATTTTACAGCTCATCACGATCACATTCGATGATGCGGTAAATGTAATCAACTACGAGCAGTATCAGCAGCTCTTCCAAGGACTAGTCAATCCTGATAACTGCACAGCAAGCGGCACTTTCTACGTCTCACACGAGTACACGGATTACACACTGGTGAATGCGCTCTATCAGCAGGGACATGAGATCGCTTTGCATTCCATAACACACGGTTCAGGCACAGATTATTGGCGCGAGGCGGATGTTGAGCAAATAATGGCTGAATTTGGTCAGCAAATCGAAATGTTGGAACAATTTGCGAAAGTGAATCGCAGGCATATACGTGGCATGCGCTTACCTTTCCTACAGATTGCGGGCAATAACAGCTTCGAAGCTGCCAAGCGGTTGGATCTGCTCTACGATAGCTCATGGCCGACGCAACGTTATCGCAATCCGGCTATGTGGCCGTACACACTCGACTATCGCTCGGTGCAGGATTGCCAGATTGGTCCATGTCCACAAGCGTCGATTCCAGGATTTTGGGTAAACCCAATGGTTTCATGGGTGGATACACAAGGCTACAGTTGTGCGATGATTGATGCATGTATATTTCCGCCGAAGGATGATGTAGACGCGTTGTTCCAGTGGATGTTGGAGAACTTTAAGCGGCACTATGAGGGTAATCGTGCTCCGTTCGGCATGTATTTGCATGCAGCCTGGTTCCAGCGAGGACGGCATAATTTTGAGGCATTTAGGAAGTGAGTGCAGTTTTAAAAAGGAGAGATGCAACTAGTAATTTTAAGAGCAATCTTAATAATTTTAGCATAGGGCTCAGTTTTACAAGCCACAAATTGTGCTGTGTAAATTTAGTCAGAGATTAACGACTCGTTGGTAAACGGCAGTACCACAATGAAGGCTCCCAGACTGCACCCAAAGCGGAGGGCGCTGGCTTTACGTCCTGCGCGGGCACTTCTCACTTTAGTGGAAGCCACAAGATCTTAGCAGGCGACGAACTAGTTAGCCACTAGTGAGGCAAATCCTAAGGGGGCAAAGACCTGAAGTGGCTCAAAATATAGTGAGGGTATTTATCCTCCGGAATGTCGGGGCTATTCACCGAACTTTTTCAGGATTCCGGATCGCCTTATGCGCATACGAAAGGTTATATGTCACAGTGGCTTTAGGCAGTAGCGTGGGCAAAGGTCATCCTATTCGCTAGCTGAAAATGGCATTAAGTGGTGAAATACCAGAGAATACCCTACCCCTTACTTGCTCACAACTAAGGTCTGACCTCAAACTGGTAGCGCTCACGTACCCTTCAACTACTCCGGTTCATGAAATCCTTTTAAGGCAACTAGGGCTTTTAGCGAAGTAGCCAGGGATCCTTTAGTATTGCCCATTATAGACAGAACAAATCCTGATGAGAACCTCAGGCCACACCACTGCAGACCCATTCTAGTTAGTCTCGCAGAGGTATGCACACATATTCTGCTTATGTATTCTGGTTCAGCACCTGTAGTCAGGGCGCCAGTCTACACCAACCACGGATCCATATAACGTGGATAAGCGATCGCCTACACTCTATAAGGAGCCGATATTCAGGCTGGGGGGTCCTTGACCAGTAGTTGACCGTTTGGCTGCTCAGAGGGACGAAATCTCCAAACAGACCACGGTCAAGAGCTTGGTTACCAGAAGAATCCTCCGCGGAAGAAATAATGCTGTGGGTGATCCGGAATTGCAGTGAAACACCACAAATCCACGATTGGAGAGTTGTAAAAGTGAGTGACTCTATTACCCTCAAAAGCCAAAATGGGAATAAGGGGAAAGCAGCGAACCCCATATACACTACGATTGTAGAATTGGAGGGATTAGATTACTAGAGGAACTTTCCAGCATCAGATTTGTGTTAAGGTCAGCAAAGATTTACTTTTTTCCTAAACTTTCGATGTCCTTATAAGTGACCATTTACAGCGTTTAAAATGTTCTCTAGTCCGATTAGTTGAGATACAGATCCTCGACAATATCTGGAAGTATAGAAATTTATTCATTTAAAAATCATACAACCAAACTATTTTACAGATTCCTTCTCCACGTGAATAAGCTTCCTGATGTCTACTTGACCACCGCCTCACGCGTCATACACTACATGAAGCATCCCACCTTGGGCAGACCTTTCCACAGCTGTCCGAAGAAGCCACGCACGACATGCGTTAAGCAGAATTGTGCACTAAGAAAAGTGGAGACCGGTGAGATGCGTTACATGAATGTATGCGATAGCTGTCCCACAGTCTATCCATGGTTGGGAAATCCACTTGGAACTACGGCGTACTAACGAAGGTGGAGAGTGAGGTAGAGGTGCTACACACAGATGTGGAGTTTTCTACACAAAAGTACTTTAGAACACCAAGCAAAGGGAAGGCGAATATATTATGTGAAAGATGAAAGGAGGAAGCTGAAAGGCAAAACGAAATATGCAAATTTTTAGTAAAAGAAAGTATTGAAGTCAGGTGTTCAATAAAACTGATTTAAAACGCACTTGAAATAAATTAAAATACTTTAGTTGTACAAGACACTGGCGTGTGCGGTTCGTTTGAGAAGCGAGTAGAAGGTTTGAAGCGCATGCAAGTTTAGCTGGCCCACTGCTTTGGTGAGCGGCCACTGGATGATATTGGGAATAGGATGATGAAAAGCTGCCGTGTACCGTAGTTCAAGTGCCTGCCAGACACTTTATCTAACTTTTTCAATATTTCTGCATAACTGCCGTGGAAATTGAAGTTATCTTCTTGATAAAATCAATCAAATCATAAACAAGTGAGTGGCAAAGTTTTATGTACATAACCGCAACTTTTTTCCCTACACTTGGCCTATGCGGGTTCAAAGGTCATTGATTTAGCTAGAAACAAATAAAACTTTTAACTTCTTGCCACAAAATAAATAAATAAGTGGCATAAAATATTTGTGAACACAGCCGCTTGATTGCTAGCGAAAGGTGATTGAGGGAATGAGTGCATGACTGAGTGAGTTAGTGGGTGAGTGAGCGAGCTGCTGAACTGTGAATTGTCTGGCAAGGTAGGCAAGTCAAGTTTATAGCGACACAGATGAGGGTTACACATACATACACTCCCAGGCACTTGAAGAGGGCCAATGTTTTTTCGATTTTTTTCTAGATGATTTTTCATTTTTAATTTGCCTTTTTTCAATTAAAATGCAGTTCATTCTCTAATAAAAAATCTACAGAATTAAAAAAATTCAAAAAATTTTCAGAAAAAATTTGAACGTTTTTCTCAGACGAACGCTACAACACATACACTCCCATGCACTTGAATGGGGACAATACTTTTTCGCTTTTTTTCAGGGTTGTTTTTTTTTCTTTTAATTTGCCTTTTTTAATTTAAAATACAGTTCATTCTCTAACAAAAATGTACAAAGTTAAAAAAATCATAAAATTTTCAAAAAAATTTCAAAACTCTTTTCTTGGAATTTTTAGATTTGTTTAGTACGCAAACCTAAAGTGGGTACAAATTAGCGTTTTTTGAAAACGTTTTCTGACGCCGTTCCGCAATTTTTTCCATAAAAAAGCTACCATTCTGAGAAAAAAGTTTGAAATTTTTATGGAAATTTTATGAATTTTTTTGTGCAAATTTGAAAATTTGCTAGGCTTTATTTAAAACAATAATTGAAATTAAATAAAAGAAAAAAAACCCAGAAAAAAGCGAAAAGCGTTGTCCCTATTCAAGTGCATAGGAGTGTACTTATACGACCATATGGAGATGTGAAAAATGGTATGTATGAGACTGTGAAAATGACAAAAGTATGAAAGTCGGAACGTTATGAAAATTTTACTTTTCTGCAAATAGCTGAGTGCAGAGTATTAATAAAAAAGTCCTGTAAAATATGGCATACATTCATATCGCTCTACTTATCCTTCCTCATTAGCTATAATTGCATTAGCAATTTCCTAGCGGGCCACAAGCAAAGCAGCAAGTGCAAGCAACCCTTGAAAATTTTGTAGGCGACGCCTAGGACGAGTGCCAACTCAGCACTGGCTCTCCCTACACGTCGCAAGCGGCTACACTTAAACATAGTTGAATTATATATTTCGTTATAAACACATACACAAATGCAAAAAGTCCTCTGCTTGTGTATGTAAGTATGTGCACCAATCGGGTGCCGCCCGCTAGCGCCGAAAGTCACGTTTTGGGGCGTTACCTAACCTCGTTTATGCAATATGCTACTCGTTATTCGTATGTGCTTGCTATTCGTGCGCAGATGGCGGTGCCAACAACAAATAACAACAACAACAACAAACGCATAGTTCGTTTGCAAAACTACCACTACTCTTTATATTATGAGTGATATTTATAGTGTGTGCTGCTACTTGCTGCTGGCCAATGTGCTACGTGTGGTATGAGTAACCTTCGTCGGCAGCCAAGAGACCGTACTGGTATACTATGAAGACAGAATATGCGGCACTGCACATATAGCAATGTAGATTTTTGTTGTTGTTTGTGCTTTTGCTCCCAAATTGTTGTTGTTGTTATTGTCTTCTCACATACACTCACTCCAGCTGGGTTGGCAATTGGAAAAGCATTTCTTTAACGCCGCTAGCTGGCCTTCATCGGGCTGTGCTATACAAATGGAAATGCATTGTTGTTGTTGTGTTCTTTTCTCCTCTAGTCTCGGTTTTTTTTTTGTGTAGTTTTAGCACATTCTTCATCTTAGTATGTACGTATGTATTATTTCTCATACTTACTCCTGCAAAGATAGTTGTTGTCACATAAAACTGCTCTCTCTCTCTTTCTCTTTCACTTTACTTTGCTTTCGGTTCACATTTTATCCTCTTTAGTTTTGTTTTACTGTTTCTGATGCTATTGCCTTTGTTGTTGTTGCTGTTTTTTGTTATTGTAGTGGCACTCGCATGCATTTTATGTATGTCCGTCGGTTCTTCTTCTTTTAACGATAATGACGTTACGTTGTCCGCCTTTTGCATTGCGAGGCACGTGCGCGCCTTTCATTTCTTGCAAATTATGAGGAAAACGAAGTGAAAACAACAGCATCAGACAGGAGCGGTTCAGGCAGTGGAAAAGGGAAAAGGCAAAACGAGAAAAATTTCTTTTTTACTCTAAGGACTAATTCTAAGATAAGTGAGGAGTGCAACAGGTATAATGTAAAAAGTTCTTTTCGAAAACGCGGACATTTTTATTAATTAATCGAAAGCAAAAAATCGGTTCGTAAATATATCAACTGAAAACAATCGATTGCCGGTTAATCGAAGGAAAAGATTCGGTTTGCAAAAAAATTACTGCCAAAAATCTTTTATTATTAATCGATTATTAATCAATAGAAGCAGAAAAAATTGATTAAAAAATAAATCGGTGGATTTGCAAATAAATGCACTTAGTTTTTAATCGAAAGAAAAAAAATCGGTTTGTGGATAAATCGACCATGAAGAATCGATTATCAATTCATCGATGGAAATTAGCTGGCTTGCGAAAAAATTTCTGGGAAAATCTGTTAATCGGTCATCAGTTAATCGAAGTAGAAAAATCGACGAACGAATAGGTTCATAAAATTTCAAATAAATCCACTTAGCAAAAAAGTCTTATTGCCTGCCATTCAGTTTCAGGACAATTACTGGTTCGTAAAAAATTAGCTTAGAAAAATTTCTAAATCGAAAATTCTTTTTGTTTTATTAATTAATCAAGAAAAAAATCGGCTCTTGGACAAATCGACTAAGAAAAGTCGATTATCAAGGAAAATAGTAGGTTTGCGAAAAAATTGCTGGGAAAAATTTTTTAATCGGTTATTACTTACTTCAAAAAAGCACGATCGATGAACGAATAACTTTGTAGATTTTCACATAAATACACTTAGAAAAAATCGACTTATTGGTTACCATTCATTTGATGAACAAAAATTGGTTCGCACAAATTAGAAATATATCTTACAGGTCTATTCTGCGCTGGTAATAAAAAGTTTGTAACCGGTAAATAAAGTTCCTGTCAATTTTTAAACCCTTTTCGCATTCTGTGTACTCTTGTAACCGGTAAATTTTGTTTCCATCTCATAAGCTGGTAACAAAGTATTGCCCCGTGAAATATGCAATGCCAGAATTTGCACAATTCTTCATAGCTGAATTGTTGAATACTTTAACTGCATTACCAACGTTCCTAGAATCGCGGTGACAAGAAGTCGTAACATTTTTTGGTAATAAAACTTTCCGGTTACAAAATCTTCGGTAACGTGCAGAATAGACCTGTTAGTCGAAAATTCCCCTAAATTTACTAATTAATCGAAAAAATCGGTTCTTGGATAAATGGACTAAGAAAACTCGATTTTCAATTATTCGAAGGGAAATACTCGGTTTCTAATCGGTTTTCAATCAGTCGAAGAACAAAAATCGATAAGCGCATGAATCGGGGGATTTTTAAACAAATCCACTTAGGAAAAATCGGTTATTGGTTATTCTTTATTTCAAGGACAAGAACTGGTTCGCAAAAATTTGCTTAGAAAAATTTGATTTGTCCAAAAGATCCTTTGTAAAAAATTAATTAATCATCTACCAATAAATATATATAATAGATACCATTATTTCGAAAAAATAATTACGAATAAATTAGCGAAAATCGACAAGCCTATTATCATTTCTTCGATATTAATTTAATCGATATTTACCTTCGCTTAGAAAAGTTTATTTGTCCATTAAAAATTTACTAAACGGCTACCAAGTGATTAATCGATTACCTACTGATTAACCGATTAACAATTAATTTACGTAAACAAATCGACTTCCAAAGATTTCGTTTGGAAAACATTACAGGATTAAATTAATTTGCAAAAAAATTAGACTACAAATTAATCAAAAGAAAAAACATTCGATATAGTTTTCTATTTATTCTATTTCTATTAATTGATGATCAACTAATCGAATAAAAAAATTTGGTTGCAAAAAAATACCAATAGCTTGCTAATTAATCGAAGGAAGAAAAATCGATTCACGAATGTATTCCCTTAAGGCAGAATCAGATTATTGGACAAATTTGTTGTAAATGTTAGTTCAATCGTGTCATGGAAAAATATCGGGCTTTATCCCAATTTTTGCACCAATTGGCCATAATTAAAAATTGTGTAAATGTACCAAACGTGTGAACGGCCCTTTAGAAAAAGTCGGAAACAAGTCTTTTCGCAAGTAGGTTCGCTTACAAACATTGATTAATCGATAACTTTTTCTAAAAAAAATTATAGCGGAAAAATCGATTATTGAAATAATGGCACTAAGAAAAAATTGTTTTATTGGCTATATTTTTTCGAAAGTCGCAAACAAATTGGTTTAAAAAATTACATACTAATCGATAGCCAATTTATTTATTAGTCCACTATTAATAAATTTTTTTGATTTGTGAAAGTTTCACTTAGCAAAAAAAGCAGAACAGAATAAAGTCGAAAGTAATGGAAGAATAAAATGCAATCGATAAAAAATGTTTATTGGTCAATCGACTTTTTATTAAACGAAGTAAAAAATCAGTTT